ATGAGTTTTGTAGAGGAGTAACAGGCGCATCGTTTGTGCAAGGTTTCGAGTGGCGCTATGTTGAAAAATCTGAAACTAGGGGTCGCAATTTGATTTTTTTTTGTACAGCATTACACGGGGGTACCAGCACTTGCGGTTTAAAGTTTGACATAGACTTCAACAGGCTTGATATTTAAATTAGATAAGAAGATGTGGTAGGATTGCCAATGAGACAACTCTCCAGAAAAGACCAAAATGGGTTAGAAATTAACAACTATAGGTCACAGTACGGCCTTCAACAATGAGCAAAATCCATACCGCATTGTTAGCTATACAAGGCCCAAAAATGACATATGTAAAACAATTCAAACGAGAAATATAACGGCCTGATTTATGTACAAAATAATAAACAAAAAAACAAATATGAACTACAGTAACAAAGTACAAAAATGTAACGCACTTAATTATAGGCTCCTGACTTAGGACAGGCACATACAGAATGTGATGGGGTTTTAACTAGTTTGAAGGCGCTAACGTGGGACGGTGATGTAACAGTAAAACATAAGAAGAAATTATCAAAATCAGTCGAAAAGGGCTTAACTAATCAGATCAAAACGAAGCAGAAATACATCATCACAGACTAGACGTGGTCATCTATTATAGCCATACCCCGTGACATCCCCAATTATTTTTCTCTAGAAGCCCTGGAATAGGCCAATTCCCCTGTTTTGTCCCAATTTTTTTAATTTCGAGCCCTAGTTTCAGATTTTGGAACATAGCGCCACTCGAAACATTGCGCAAACGATGAGCCTGTTTTTCCTCTACAAGACGCATATAGCATTACCCCGTGACATCCCTCATTATTTTTCTCTAGAAGCCATGAAATAGGCCAATCTCCGTTTTTTTCCAAATTTTTTCAAATTTCGATCCCTAGTTTCCGATTTTTGAACATAGCGCCACTCGAAACCTTGCGCAAACGATGCGCCTGTTTCTCCTCTACAAGACCTATATAGCCATACCCCGTGACACCTTCATTATTTTTCTCTAGAAACCATGGAATTGGCCAACTCCCCCCCCCCCCCCCCCCCCCCAGTTTTTTTTCCATTTTTTCAAATTTCGAGCCATAGGTTCAGATGTTTGAACATAGCGCCACTCGAAACCTTGCGCAAACGATGCGCCTGTTTCTCCTCTTAGACTACAAGACCTTTATAGCCAAGTGTAAGTAAATTTTGGCTCAAAATGGTCTACATATTTTTTTCTATTACCAAAAGTTTAATTTCTGCAAATTTATTTGTTAGTTCAATTAAACAAAGACAACGAAAGTGATATTTTTTTCAGGGAAGGACTACTTTTACATACGTTCTAAATTGAAATGGGTGCACTGGTGGTCTAACACCTACAACCAATCCGTTGACAGGTGTAGATTTACTGTAGCACTGAATGTTACCCTGAAAAGGGCTGTGGCTTGTTTTATAACAAGATGTGGTATATCCTATTTCATGATAGACATGTAAATTGCAATTTCTGGGCGGACTTTTCTGCCTTTTAAATATATTTTTTTTTAACGGCCGTTGCTGTCTTTTGCAATTTTTCGGTTAACAGATATATCGCCTAATTGTTCGCTGGCTTATTGTTCGCTAGCTTCAGCCTGGTGCCAGGCTGAAGCTAGCGAACAATAACTAGCGAACAATAAGGCGATATATCTAAAAACCGAAAAAATGAATAAGACAGCAACGGCCGTTAAATGAAAAATATAAAACAGGCAGAAATTCCGTCCAATATTGCAATTTCAACACTATCATGAAATGGTATTTATCCCATCCATTGATAAAACAAGTCACATCTCTTTTTAGGCTAATATTCAGTACCACAGTAAATCTGCATCTGTCAACGGATTATTTGTAGGTGTAAAACCACCAATGCACCCACTTCCATTTAGAACGTATGTAAAAGTAGTCCTTCCCTGTAAAATACAGCACCTTTGATGTCATTGTTTAATTGAACTAAGATACTCATTTGCAGAAATGGGGGTTGGCCTATTCCATTGAGAAAAATAATGAGGGGTGTCACGGGATATGACTATATAGGTCTTGTAGAGGAGAAACAGGCGCATCTTTTGCGCAAGGTATCGAAGGGCGCTATGTTCAAAAATCTGAAACTAGAGCTCAAAATTTGAAAAAAATTGTTAAAAACAGGGGGTTGGCCTATTCCATGATTTCTAGAGAAAAATAATGAGGAGTGTCACGGAGTATGACTATATAGGTCTTGTAGAGGAGAAACAGGCGCATCTTTTGCGCAAGGTATCGAAGGGCGCTATGTTCAAAAATCTGAAACTAGAGCTCAAAATTTGAAAAAAATTGTTAAAAACAGGGGGTTGGCCTATTCCATGGTTTCTAGAGAAAAATAAAGAGGAGTGTCACGGAGTATGACTATATAGGTCTTGTAGAGGAGAAACAGGCGCATCTTTTGCGCAAGGTATTGAAGGGCGCTATGTTCAAAAATCTGAAACTAGAGCTCAAAATTTGAAAATAAATTGTTAAAAACAGGGGGGTTGGCCTATTCCATGGCTTCTAGAGAAAAATAATGAGCGGTGTCACGGGGTATGACTATATAGGTCTTGTAGAGGAGAAACAGGCACATCTTTTGCGCAAGGTATCGAAGGGCGCTATGTTAAAAAATCTGAAACTAGAGCTAAAAATTTGAAAAAAAGAATATTAAAAACAGGGGGTTGGCCTATTCCATGGCTTCTAGAGAAAAATAATGAGGGGTGTCACGGGGTATGACTATATAGGTCTTGTAGAGGAGAAACAGGCGCATCTCTTGCGCAAGGTATCGAAGGGCGCTATGTTCAAAAATCTGAAACTAGAGCTCAAAATTTGAAAAAAATTGTTAAAAACAGGGGGGTTGGCCTATTCCATGGTTTCTAGAGAAAAATAATGAGGGGTGTCACGGGGTATGACTATATAGGTCTTGTAGAGGAGAAACAAGCGCATCGTTTGTGCAAGGTTTCGAGTGGCGCTATGTTGAAAAATCTGAAACTAGGGGTCGCAATTTGATTTTTTTTTGTACAGCATTACACGGGGGTACCAGCACTTGCGGTTTAAAGTTTGACATAGACTTCAACAGGCTTGATATTTAAATTAGATAAGAAGATGTGGTAGGATTGCCAATGAGACAACTCTCCAGAAAAGACCAAAATGGGTTAGAAATTAACAACTATAGGTCACAGTACGGCCTTCAACAATGAGCAAAATCCATACCGCATTGTTAGCTATACAAGGCCCAAAAATGACATATGTAAAACAATTCAAACGAGAAATATAACGGCCTGATTTATGTACAAAATAATAAACAAAAAAACAAATATGAACTACAGTAACAAAGTACAAAAATGTAACGCACTTAATTATAGGCTCCTGACTTAGGACAGGCACATACAGAATGTGATGGGGTTTTAACTAGTTTGAAGGCGCTAACGTGGGACGGTGATGTAACAGTAAAACATAAGAAGAAATTATCAAAATCAGTCGAAAAGGGCTTAACTAATCAGATCAAAACGAAGCAGAAATACATCATCACAGACTAGACGTGGTCATCTATTATAGCCATACCCCGTGACATCCCCAATTATTTTTCTCTAAAAGCCCTGGAATAGGCCAATTCCCCTGTTTTGTCCCAATTTTTTGAATTTCGAGCCCTAGTTTCAGATTTTGGAACATAGCGCCACTCGAAACATTGCGCAAACGATGAGCCTGTTTTTCCTCTACAAGACGCATATAGCATTGCCCCGTGACATCCCTCATTATTTTTCTCTAGAAGCCATGAAATAGGCCAATCTCCGTTTTTTTCCAAATTTTTTCAAATTTCGATCCCTAGTTTCCGATTTTTGAACATAGCGCCACTCGAAACCTTGCGCAAACGATGCGCCTGTTTCTCCTCTACAAGACCTATATAGCCATACCCCGTGACACCTTCATTATTTTACTCTAGAAACCATGGAATTGGCCAACTCCCCCCCCCCCCCCCCCCCCAGTTTTTTTTCCATTTTTTCAAATTTCGAGCCATAGGTTCAGATGTTTGAACATAGCGCCACTCGAAACCTTGCGCAAACGATGCGCCTGTTTCTCCTCTTAGACTACAAGACCTTTATAGCCAAGTGTAAGTAAATTTTGGCTCAAAATGGTCTACATATTTTTTTCTATTACCAAAAGTTTAATTTCTGCAAATTTATTTGTTAGTTCAATTAAACAAAGACAACGAAAGTGATATTTTTTTCAGGGAAGGACTACTTTTACATATGTTCTAAATTGAAATGGGTGCATTGGTGGTCTAACACCTACAACCAATCCGTTGACAGGTGTAGATTTACTGTGGCACTGAATGTTACCCTGAAAAGGGCTGTGGCTTGTTTTATAACAAGATGTGGTATATCCTATTTCATGATAGACATGTAAATTGCAATTTCTGGGCGGACTTTTCTGCCTTTTAAATATATTTTTTTTAACGGCCGTTGCTGTCTTTTGCAATTTTTCGGTTAACAGATATATCGCCTAATTGTTCGCTGGTTTATTGTTCGCTGGCTTATTGTTCGCTAGCTTCAGCCTGGTGCCAGGCTGAAGCTAGCGAACAATAACTAGCGAACAATAAGCCAGCGAACAATAAGGCGATATATCTAAAAACCGAAAAAATGAATAAGACAGCAACGGCCGTTAAATGAAAAATATAAAACAGGCAGAAATTCCGTCCAATATTGCAATTTCAACACTATCATGAAATGGTATTTATCCCATCCATTGATAAAACAAGTCACATCTCTTTTTAGGCTAATATTCAGTACCACAGTAAATCTGCATCTGTCAACGGATTATTTGTAGGTGTAAAACCACCAATACACCCACTTCCATTTAGAACGTATGTAAAAGTAGTCCTTCCCTGTCAAATACAGCACCTTTGATGTCATTGTTTAATTGAACTAAGATACACATTTGCAGAAATGGGGGTTGGCCTATTCCATTGAGAAAAATAATGAGGGGTGTCACGGGATATGACTATATAGGTCTTGTAGAGGAGAAACAGGCGCATCTTTTGCGCAAGGTATCGAAGGGCGCTATGTTCAAAAACATGAAACTAGAGCTCAAAATTTGAAAAAAAAATTGTTAAAAACAGGGGGGGTGGCCTATTCCATGGCTTCTAGAGAAAAATAATGAGGGGTGTCACGGGGTATGACTATATAGGTCTTGTAGAGGAGAAACAGGCGCATCTTTTGCGCAAGGTATCGAAGGGCGCTATGTTCAAAAATCTGAAACTAGAGCTCAAAATTTGAAAAAAATTGTTAAAAACAGGGAGGTTAGCCTATTCCATAGCTTCTAGAGAAAAATAATGAGGGGTGTCACGGGGTATGACTATATAGGTCTTGTAGAGAAAAAAACAGGCACTTCTCTTGCGCAAGGTATCGAAGGGCGCTATGTTCAAAAATCTGAAACTAGAGCTCAAAATTTGAAAAAAATTGTTAAAAACAGGGGGGTTGGCCTATTCCATGGCTTCTACAGAAAAATAATGAGGAGTGTCACGGAGTATGACTATATAGGTCTTGTAGAGGAGAAACAGGCGCATCTTTTGCGCAAGGTATCGAAGGGGGCTATGTTCAAAAATCTGAAACTAGAGCTCAAAATTTGAAAAAAATTGTTAAAAACAGGGGGTTGGCCTATTCCATGGTTTCTAGAGAAAAATAATGAGGAGTGTCACGGAGTATGACTATATAGGTCTTGTAGAGGAGAAACAGGCGCATCTTTTGCGCAAGGTATCGAAGGGCGCTATGTTCAAAAATCTGAAACTAGAGCTCAAAATTTGAAAAAAATTGTTAAAAACAGGGGGGTTGGCCTATTCCATGGTTTCTAGAGAAAAATAATGAGGGGTGTCACGGGGTATGACTATATAGGTCTTGTAGAGGAGAAACAGGCACATCTTTTGCGCAAAGTATCGAAGGGCGCTATGTTAAAAAATCTGAAACTAGAGCTAAAAATTTGAAAAAAAGAATATTAAAAACAGGGGGTTGGCCTATTCCATGGCTTCTAGAGAAAAATAATGAGGGGTGTCACGGGGTATGACTATATAGGTCTTGTAGAGGAGAAACAGGCGCATCTCTTGCGCAAGGTATCGAAGGGCGCTATGTTCAAAAATCTGAAACTAGAGCTCAAAATTTGAAAAAAATTGTTAAAAACAGGGGGGTTGGCCTATTCCATGGTTTCTAGAGAAAAATAATGAGGGGTGTCACGGGGTATGACTATATAGGTCTTGTAGAGGAGAAACAAACGCATCTTTTGCGCAAGGTATCGAAGGGCGCTATGTTCAAAAATCTGAAACTAGGGCTCAAAATTTGAAAAAAGTGTTAAAAACAGGGGGGGGGTTGGCCTATTCCATAGCTTTTAGAGAAAAATAATGAGGAGTGTCACGGGATTTGACTATATAGGTCTTGTAGAGGAGAAACAGGCGCATCTTTTGCGCAAGGTATCGAAGGGCGCTATGTTCAAAAACCTGAAACTAGAGCTCAAAATTTGAAAAAAAGTGTTAAAAACAGGGGGTTGGCCTATTCCATGGCAACTATAGAAAAATAATGAGGAGTGTCACGGGGTATGACTACATGTTTATAGGTCTTGTAGAAGAAAAACAGGCGCATCTTTTGCGCAAGGTATCGAAGGGCGCTATGTTCAAAAATCTGAAACTAGAGCTCAAAATTTGAAAAAAAAATTGTTAAAAACAGGGGGGTTGGCCTATAACATGGCTTCTTGAGAAAAATAATCAGGGGTGTCACGGGGTATGACTATATAGGTCTTGTAGAGGAGAAACAGGCGCATCTTTTGCGCAAGGTATGGAAGGGCGCAATGTTCAAAAATCTGAAACTAGAGCTCAAAATTTGAAAAAAAAAATTGTTAAAAACAGGGGGCTTGGCCTATTCCATGGCTTCTAGAGAAAAATAATGAGGGGTGTCACGGGGTATGACTATATAGGTCTTGTAGAGGAAACACAGGCGCATCTTTTGCGCAAGGTATCGAAGGGCGCTATGTTCAAAAATCTGAAACTAGAGCTCAAAATTTGAAAAAAAGTGTTAAAAACAGGGGGTTGGCCTATTCCATGGCTTCTAGAGAAAAATAATGAGGAGTGTTCAAAAATCTGAAACTAGAGCTCAAAACTTGAAAAAAAAATTGTTAAAAACAGGGGGGTTGGCCTATAACATGGCTTCTAGAGAAAAATAATGAGGGGTGTCGCGGGGTATGACTATATAGATCTTGTAGAGGAGAAACAGGCGCATCTTTTGCGCAAGGTATCGAAGGGCGCTATGTTCAAAAATCTGAAACTAGAGCTCAAAATTTGAAAAAACAATTGTTAAAAATAGGGGGGTTGGCCTATTCCATGGCTTCTACAGAAAAATAATGAGGGGTGTCACGGGGTATGACTATATAGGTCTTGTAGAACAGAAACAGGCGCATCTCTTGCGCAAGGTATCGAAGGGCGCTATGTTCAAAAATCTGAAACTAGAGCTCAAAATTTGAAAAAAACACTTTTTTAAAAACAGGGGGGTTGGCCTATTTAATGGCTTCTACAGAAAAATAATGAGGGGGGTCACGGGTTATGACTATATAGGTCTTGTAGAACAGAAACAGGCGCATCTCTTGCGCAAGGTATCGAAGGGCGCTATGTTCAAAAATCTGAAACTAGAGCTCAAAATTTGAAAAAAAATTGTTAAAAACAGGGGAAATGGCCTATTCCATGGCTTTTAGAGAAAAATAATGAGGGGTATCACGGGGTATGACTATATAGGTCTTGTAGAAGAGAAACAGGCGCATCTCTTGCGCAAGGTATCGAAGGGCGCTATGTTCAAAAATCTGAAACTAGGGCTCAAAAATAAAAAAAAAACAGAGGGGGTTGGCCTATTGGTGTAATACGTCCATTGATTTTCTTTTTTTTTTTTTTTTTTTAAATTTGCAGTTTTCAAAAAAATGTGGAGAATTTGTCTTTGTTTCAAATTAAAAGATTAACATAAAATTTCATTGGATATAAGAAAATAACTATCACTGTCAGTTAACCAATCAAATTTGCTCCTTATTTAACCTGTGTACAAGCTTTAGTAACCATGCAACCTCAAGTTTCCAAAATATTCTATAGAAACCCCAAATAAAACAATAATGATTCTTTGAATACCCAAGATACATGTATATGTTTATGACCCAGAAATGTTTTACTGCAATAAAATGATGGATTAATTACCTACAACTGTCAAATTAAAGAGAATATTTTTTTCGACCTATTTTTGAATGCAACCGGATGTGACGTGCCATGATTTGGTGGTATTACACCTGAAGAAGACATTTTTATGTTATAAACTGAAAGGGATTTTTTCCTTTGTAATACTGTTTTTTTTCAAGCATTCCTGTCATGTTTTGTCATAATCAGTTCAATAGTTTGAGAAAAATCTAGTATAATGTACGACGACATCTTCAGCGATTCGTGCAAAATTTCTTCGAAAAATCCAAACCAAGCCGCATCATGATAGAATATAGTGTGGACCAATAATGATTAAATATTTATCTCATCTGCCTACAAACAGTTGAATTTGATACAAAAGATGACTTTAGGATGATAAATACCACTAATGGATCCTTTGTCTTCTTTATAAGGTCTCTTTTGGTCCATTTATACATGTCATTTCCTCAAAATTTCAACTTTTCAGGCCAATAAATAAAAATAATGAAGTAACTTTCACTCATTTATGATAGAAATGTTATAATAAATTACATTGAGTAATGGAAGTATTAAAGCAGAATGAACAATCCATATAAAAGTTGACTGGAGGTTTTAATAAGTCCTTACGTAAAACTTAAATTTACGCTGCGTTCCAGAGAGGGACATAAAAAGCTTCTCTATTAGTGAATAATTTGTTGCTACTGCTTTAAAAAATAATCACATTTACTTATAACTATAGTCTTTAAAAAAAATTCTGAGGGAAAACTTTCTAATATAGCAGAATATAAGAAAAAAGGAGAAAAAGCTCCCCAAAACACCGTGAAGTATGGCTTGTTCTGTTAACTAATATTCATGGTAGAGTCCAATTTCAAGGAAATGTTCTCATAAAATATGTTTTGGAGACTCAATCCACTCAGAATATTTCATTATTTGTAATATTTCACTTGAATAGCAAGACATTTTAACACATGAGAGTACTCACAAGGTCAAAGGTGCATATACAGCACCCCATATTAGGTGTAATACCACCATTGATTTTCCCCTATTATTTTTTTTTAAATTTGCACTTTTCGAAAAATTGTGCAGAATTGATCTTTGTTTCAAATTAAAAAAATACTTGGCATGAGTAAAGTTTTATCCTGTCCAGTACTATAGAAAAAAATTCACATAAAATTTCATTGCATAGAAGAAAATAACCATAACTGTCAGTTAACCAATCAAATTCCCCCTTATATAACCTGTGTACAAGCTTTAGTAACCGTGCAACCTCAAGTTTCCAAAATATTCTACAGAAACCCAAAATAAAAAAAAATGATGCTTTGAAATACCCAAGATACATGTATATGTTTATGACCCAGAAATGTTTTACTGCAATAAAATGATGGATTAATTTCCGACAACAGTCAAATTCAAGGGAATATTTTTTGGACCTATTTCGTATGCAACCGGATGTGACGTACCATGCATTAATTGGTGGTATTACACCTATTCAATGGCTTCTGGAGAAAAAAATAATGTGGAGTTTCACGGGATATAGCTATATAGGTGTTGTAGAGGAGAAACAGGCGCATGGTATGCGCAAGGTTTCGAGTTGCGCTTTGTCCAAAAACTGAAACTAGGGCTCGGAATTTCAAAAAAAATTTGTAAAACAACTGGAATTGGCCTATTCCATAGCCTCTGGAAAAAATAATGAGGGATGTCGCGGGGTAAGACTATAAAGGTCTTGTAGAGGGCACACAGGCGCATAGTTTGCGCAAAGCTTCAAGAGGTGCTATGTTTAATTATGTCGAAAGGAACTAAAATTTAGTGAGGAACAAAGCCAACTCAAATGTCAGACAAGAACGTGAAAATCGTGAAAAAGACATATCAGAGTCAGCAAAGAAGAATTTCTTGTCATATGAAGTCGAAATGAAAATCCAAATTCCCCCATCCGAATTATATGATGAAAGAGATTGTAAAATGTGTTATGTAAGTACTGATAAAGAGAAGGCTGAACACTGGCTGAATTTTTTCAAGGGTATTTCGAAAAAGAAAACGATGAAGATGAAAGAACTTTAGTGCGAAGGCAAGCTGGTATACAACCTAAAAATCTATATACTATTACAGACTTAATAGACAGTCTACTTTGTATTATTTTCAAAAGTCTATTTATATCAGAGGTTTTGTACCAGAATAAAACAAAATCGGCAAAGAGTACTGAGTTGTTAAAAAGATATGATAGTAAAACTACATACAGACCAGTTAACTTTATCATTGACAATCCAAGCGCCACATTCTTAAAGACGGTATAAGTACCCTCGTCTACGTGCGTGCATTGTCTGATATAAATAAATGTTTACTAGGCAAAAATAGAAACGTTACCCTGGTTTTTAATTTAAAGAAATTACATATATTAATTTATAATATTTTCAAGATTAAAACTTGACCTGAATGATTGATCTATCATTTACTAATTTGTTAAAAATTCGAAGACGACGTTACGTCATTTTCTGATTTTAAACAAATAAGCATTTTTTCAAACATTTACCTGTATCAAGATGGAATTGAGTTGTCCTTTTGGTCATTAAATGTGTCGAGCACTATTGTTAACAAAAGGTCGCATTAAAAAATTGAAAAAGTTACACGTAAGTCAATGCCACGTCTACATCATAATGAGAGAGAACAAGCTATTGTGTTGTTGGCAGCAAAAATGACTCTAATACAGGTTGCAAATCATCCCAATGTCTCTAGAATAAATATTGAAAGGCTTAAGACTCGTCTTAGAGATACTGGCACGACAAATAATCGTCCCCGAGGTTGCAGGCAACGTGAAACGAAGTTACGTCAAGACAGTCACATCCACATTATTCATCTCCGGAATCGATTTGTAAACTTGTCACAAACAGCACGACAAACTCATGGAAGAAACAAAAACAGGCTTTATTCCCAAACAGTTTGTAACCGACTGCATCAAGTTTGCCTAAGAGTTCATCGTCCGTTGAAGGGACCTATCCTTACGCAACGTCAAAGGATGTCTCGACTTGAATGGACTCGGGTACGGATTCGATGGAATAGGCTAACATGTCCTTTTTACCGATGAATAGAAATTCAACTCGACATCTAGCGACGGCAAAGCCAGTGTCTACCGGAGGTGCAATGCATGTTTTTCTGATGCGTGCGTACAGGAAACGGATCTGTTTGAGGTTGGCGGAATTATTGTATGGGACGGAATAACCTACCAGGAACGCACCGATCTGACAATTATTGAAGGTAACCTAAATGCAAAAAGGTATAGGAACGAAATTCTGGCTCCACTCGTTCTCCCGTTTCTCCGAAGGCATCGTTTTGACTACTTTTTTCAGCAGGACAACGCCCGTTGTCACGTGCCACACATTTCAATGATTTTTTGGAGAATAATCACATTCGTGTGTTGCCGTGGCCAGCAATGTCTCCAGATTATCGCCAAAGGAACATTTTTGGGACGAACTTGGACGACCCATCAGAAAGAGCCAAAATCCATTGGAAACGCTCGCCAATCTTCGAATAGCATTTTTCAGGGAATGGAACAACACAAAGGGCCATTGATAAAGAGGGATGATCATGGGTAGTTCCTTCAAATACTGGAACATGAACGACAACCATATCACCAATCTGAAAGCTCCGAGGGCCAGTTCAGATGCTGTAATGAAATGGTGGGTTATTAAAAAAATAAAAGACAGCACGTATGAAACCTAGTGCGACCAGATTTAAACGGATATAAAATGAATGAAGATAGAATATGATGCAGCAATCAAAGAACATGAGAAAAAATAATGGACAAGCTGGACAAGTGTGACCACAAACTCAAACATGCAGAACCATTTGATTAGTTAACTTCACGAAAATAAAATGGCAGATGACAAGGTGATGAATGTTTGGTATGCAAAGAAATAGTAAGAACAAGAAAGAGAAATTCAATAGATTGACGGAGTGAGATGTGTTAAAATAAACTAGAGTAGATATCGAGATCTTAAAAATTGAGGGTAATACGTTGCATCATAATCATACCTCTCGTAAATGCCACACACATGACGTTTACTATGTGCCGCACTTAATGTAATGTCACGTCACTTTGACATGTTACTAATACTAGTACATCTATCACATAGTCAAGAAGTCTTTTATTTCTATCTTAAGAAGGGAAAATGGATACAAAGCTGAAAGCCATTCGTTTCGGACATAAACGAGCACTTACACGACTTTGGAAGAATTTTGGAGACATAACTGCAGAGA